AGGGATAATTTAGAGTCAGACTCCTGACTCTGTGGGGAGACTGACGGGTGAGGATGCCCAGCTGCCTGGACCCAAGCTGTGGGCCACGCGTTTGGGGAAAGGCACAGCTTCCCAGGGTAACAGCCTGGAAATTCCAGATTGGGAAGAAAGATTTTTTTTTTTAATTTATTGATTGATTGATTTTTGGCTGCGTTGCTGCGCGCAGTCTTTCTCTAGTTGCGGCGAGCAGGGTCTACTCTTCATTGCGGTGCACGGGCTCCTCATTGTGGTGGCTTTTCTTGTTGTGGAGCGCGGGCTCTAGGCACGCGGGCTTCAGTAGTTGTGGCACGTGGGCTCAGTAGTTGTGGCTCGCAGGCTCTAGAGCGCAGGCTCAGTAGTTGTGGCACACGGGCTTAGTTGCTCCACGGCATGTGGGCTCTTCCCCGACCAGGGCTCGAACCTGTGTCCCCTGCATTGGCAGGCGGATTCTTAACCACTGCGCCACCAGGGAAGCCCCGGGAAGAAAGATATTAACTGCCGCTTTGACAAAGACAAATATATGTCTAAGAGTAGAAGGTGAATTCTTCTTGATTCTGGCCGGCTGATCTCAAGACGACGCCCTCCTCAAGAAACCAAAAAAAACAAACCTAGACCTGAGCGCTAGCTTCCTTCCTTGGTTTGATTTTAAAGTGCTACAACCAAATCAAGGTGAAATAGGTGCAGACGGTCAGTGTGGCTTCTGCAGCGAAATCAGATAGAGGACGAGAGGCCCCCGCTCAGTGCAAAGCTCGCCCCCCTGCCCACACCTGCAAGTCACCAACCGCGGTGCACAGCTCCGTCCCCACCCAGGGAGGCTGAGCCCCAACTAGCAGGTGCATCACGGCCTCCGGGCCAGGATCACGCTGTCACCAGGCCCTCACGGGGTTCCTCACTTGCTCCTTTGAATCAGAAAAAGACACCCCTTCCACCAGGCGGTGGACTCTGTCGGAGGCGCGTCCTCATCCGCAGCCCGTGAGAAGGAGCTTTGCCGCCCTCTGCTGGCGATGCTGCACAAGGACCACACGGTCTGCACCCAACCCTCTGGGGCTGCGGGGAGCCAGCGGGCGCCCTCCTACGGACCTGGGACGGGACAGTACCCTGAGCTCTGGGGTGGACAGAAGACTGTCCTTCAGAACATGCAGAAGGCACGTGTGGTCTGGCCTGGGGCTTTTAGTGAGCATCACGATTGTCCTCCTTTCTCCCCGACCCCTGACAGGCACCCGTAAGATGGAATACAAGGGTAGCAGCTGGCACGAGACCTGCTTCATCTGCCATCGCTGCCAGCAGCCCATCGGAACCAAGAGCTTCATCCCGAAGGACGGCCAGAACTTCTGCGTGCCCTGCTATGAAAGGCAGTATGCCTTGCAGTGCGTTCAGTGCAAAAAGGTACCTCGTATTCCCCCTGGCCCCTGCACACCTGTTGTTCTTTCCGAAAGAGCGGCCACCTATCCCTAAGGTGTCTTTGTTCATCGCCCTCCTTGAATAAACAAGAAACGGCCCTAGACCTAGTGGGGGGACGGGGAGGGGAAAAGGCAACTGGAAAGGCCTGTCCCTGGGGTGGGGACAGATCCCTCGTCACTATCCAGGGCTGCGTCAGGTTAAAGAAAGAAAAGCGTCCTAAGACCACAGACAGGGTGGGAAGGCAGGCTCTGGGCTCATTTTTTCCACCTAGGAAGCCAGCCCCACGGTGTCCGTTAAGCCTCTTCCTTCCCCCCGAGTAGCTGAGGAAGCTGTTGGAGCAGGTGCACCTGGTGGTAGAGAGATGCTACAGGGATCTGCCCGCAGGGGGGCGCTGAGGAGGGGCTGCGTGACATCAGACCCCGGCCCCTGAGCTGCGGTCTCCCTGCTTCGCCCTCCTGCCGACCAGGAGGCAGTGCTGTCCCAGCAGACACCCCGGTACCCACGTCACGAACGGGGATCCGGGGTCTGCAGCGGGAGCCTGGCAGCTTGGGGAAGGGGCGGCGGGGTGACCTTGCCGTCCGGAGGACAGCACCTCTGGGACCCGGACGCCGGTGCGGCGTGTCCTGGGCGAGGACCGCGCGTCCTCCAGCGGCGAGGGCCGGGACAAGGGTGCCAGGCACAGGCCCCTGCGGGAGCTGACGCCCTTCTGCCCACAGCCCGTCACCAGCGGGGGCGTCACGTACCGGGAGCAGCCCTGGCACCGCGAGTGCTTCGTGTGCACCGCCTGCAAGAAGCCTCTGTCTGGCCAGCGCTTCACGTCCCGCGACGAGTTCGCCTACTGCCTGGGCTGCTTCTGCGACCTGTACGCCAAGAAGTGCGCCGGCTGCGCCAGCCCCATCAGCGGTGAGTGTCCGGTTCCCGGCCCGCACCACCGCCTGCCCCTCGTGTGGCTGCCAGGCTTTGGCTTGTGGGTCTGTTCACATGTGCAGACTCTGGGCCGCCGCGCTCCCCTCCCCCGCACACTGGGCGCGCTTCCCTGCCTCCCCCCCATCCCCACGGCCTCTTCTCCACGGCGGCGTTATTTCTGCTTTCGGCTGGATTCTCTCCAAACCGCAGGCTGTGAGTCTCTGACATCCCCGCACAGGCCCCGGGAAGCAGCTGGGCTGTGCAGATGCTCCCCGGCCTGTGCGGGGAGCACGCTCTGGGTGGGCTCTTCCCACCCCCCCCAGGCACTTGGTGGAGCCCAAATCTGGGTGAACTACAGAATGTGCCCCAAATTCAGAGTGGAGAGCAGATGGCTGGTGGGACTCCAGCCCTGGAAATGCGCCCACTTTAAACACCTCTGGGGAACTTTACACATGTCTGCTGCCTGGTCATGATTTAATTACTCTGGGGGACGACCTGGGTGTTAGAATTTTTAAAAGCTTCTCAGATGATTCATATATGCAGAAAATCCTGAGACTCTCTGGCCTGAATCACTCGTTTGGTTCTGCCTCAGGGCCAGGGCCCGGGCTGTGTGGTCTGCGGGTCTCCCATAGTCACTGTGGGCCTAGGATGGGTAAAGGCAGTTTAAGATATTTAGGGAAAGAGATGAAAAGCTTTGCTGGTGCAGCTCCATCGGTAGCAGAGGGAGTGTGGTGTCAGAAAACCGGCCTCAGTTATACACATATAGATTCCTTCTCCATGATGGTTTGCTGGTGCAGCTCCATCGGTAGCAGAGGGAGTGTGGTGTCAGAAAACCAGCCTCAGTTATACACATATAGATCCCTCTTCCATGATGGTTTATCACAGGATATTGAATAGAGGTCCCTGTGCCCTAGGGTAGG